AATTGCCGCGCGATGGTCTGAAGACTACGTGACGTCAATGTTGGTCTTCAGGGCTGAAAAACGTTCTGCGCAAGCTTCTGAGCATCGCTCAAGCCATCGGTAAGCCACTCTCGCTGATCATGCAGTTCCAGTTAATCAGCAAGTCCTATAGCTTGGACTATGAGTTTGAATCTACAGCGTTTTCTGTTGTTCTTGATGACAACCCTGAAGTATGGCTTCCTTGGTTTTACCCTAATTATGTTCCTAAATATTCTCATAATAATTTTTCTTTACAGTAGCCTGCATAGCAGGTGCTTTATGAGCCAAGCAAGGCAAACTCGGCATTTTGAGTGTAGCGCGAAACGAGCGCGAAGCGCAAGACGAAGGGAGGAGAAAAATAAAGCGCCTGTTACCAGTCCTTTTTTCTCCTCTTCCGCCCACCTTCGCCCACAAGTATTGACTAACGGCGTTGATATTAAAAGGACCAACAAAAACAAGATCTATTACACGAAAATTTTCACCTTTCTGTCTACCAGAAACACCGACAGCAGCATAAAACCACAGGAATAACAACTACTGGCAAAAATCACCTTCAATAATGTAAGACTCGGTGCGGCAAAATTAATAAAGTAAGATTTGCCCAGTCAGCCTAGTTTATGTCCAGTTTGGCAACAGCGGCGAGGAAGAAAGAGGGAAAACCTGTTGTTCAAACAAATTCCATGTTCATGCGTTTCACATTATCACGAGCTTATGAGTAGTGTTTGGCCTGTCAACACTTAATTTCGAAAATTTAGTAATTTGAGATTTTATCCAAACCTAGTTGGAAGCAATCCAAGAACATCTTTCCTCTTTTGTTTTTCCTTATTTCTGGAACATCTGGAAATAAACGAAAGCTTCTCGAACAGCATCGTCAAAAGAACATGACTGCGTGACGGCCATTTTGTTTCAGACAAACATGCCAGAATCTCCCCAGAACAACGCGTCATCAATCAACCAATCGGAACGCAACATTCATGTGGTGAACGTGGGAAGAGCCAGAACAATGGGCTGGTAACAGGCGCTTTATTCAGGGGCACCCAACGTCAATTTTCGGAAAATATCTGTTCGGAAGACGATTTGAGATCTAGAATTTTCGGAACATTTGTTGTAAAATATCTTGGTCGCCTGCTTCTCCTAGGATTTTCGAAATGGTATAATTGCCAATTTTTCACGGATTTTTACCCCAAACAGGTCACCTAGAATTTTCGGGAGCCTTTTTTCTGGCTGAAATTTTCGAAAAGGTAAGTTTTGATCCCTAGAATTTTCGGATCACTAGACTTTCAGCAAGGAAATCCGAACAGATGAAAAATTTTAGGGGATGAAAATATGACTATATCTACCGTTTAAATACTACAATACGTTTAACAATGCTATGTGTAAGTGGTTTTGAACTATATTCTCGTTGGGTGTCCCTGTTTATTTTCCTCCTCCCATTACCAGCAATATACAATATAAACCGTGTTAAAGTTTTCGTCGAGTAATGTATAGTGTCACTTACTACTTGACCTCAAGATCAATAATAAATCTTGGCATAATAATTTTTCTTCAGTTAGCTCGTTGTTGAGTGGACTATGTAGGACTTCACAGGTTATCTAAAACATATACTCATTGAATTTCTCTAAGGCTCATTGACACGTCTGCTTTTTCGCTCAATTGAGATTTATTAGTGGCTGTCATTCTAGAATCATCTGCAAACAACCCAGTGGTACTGAGCTTGATGCAATTTTGTAGGACGTTGATTGAACTTTGTGGAATTCTACAGGTTACTCTATCTACACATGTAATAACATGTTTATTCAAAGTCTTTGGCGCCAATGTTAAAGGAGAAAGTTACAGACATTCTATGAATGATATTGTCACTCGACGAAAATAATGAAAATTTCTCTCCAATACCTTCAAAGTAACTTGGGAACGCAGACATATTTATGGTCGCCGCTCCTCTCCAACCCGTACCGAAAAGTTATTTTTCGCATGAAGAGAAGCGGCGACCAAAAATACGTCTGCGTTCCCAGGCTACTTTTGAAGAGGCTCTTTCAAAGCTCCAAAATGCCTGATTGGTCAGTTAAATCTCGTAACCGACCTGGACTATGGTCGGATATATCTGACAGAACACGTCTAAGTTTCCAGCTCCATTTTTCTCGGAAATATTAGAAAGCCAAGGATAATTAGAAAAAATGAATTCAGGCTTAAAATAAACTTTGAATAAACACGCAATTTTATTTTGCGTCTGCTTTGAAATCAGTTCATAATTTAATTTGTGTGTTTAATTTATGGGACGACGACGTTATTATTTTTTTTTCCTGACCGTCTCTATCCGACGTTTGGAAAGTGCCAACGGATTCAAACTTTCTAGAAAAAAAAAAAACAAAACAAAACAAAACAAAACAAAAACTTAAGCCAAGGACAGGTTAGCCTGCATAACTGAGGCGCTTTATGAGCCAAGCGAGGCGTATTTTGCACGAAGCGCGAAATGGGTGCGAAGCGAAAAACGAAGGGAGGAAAAAAATAAAGCGCCTGTTACCAGTCCATTGTTCTGGCTCTTCCGCCCACTTCCGCCCACAAGTAGTAGTACTGCGATCGCTGGAAAGTGGTTTGCATATGGTCGCTATGATCGCTGCGATGCGATCGTAGCTAATTTAAAGTTAGTAAATCAGGCTTTTTCCTAACCTAGTTGGAAGCAATCCGAGAAAATCTTTCCTCTTAAGCAATAAATTTAAACATTTGTTTTGTTTTTCTTTTGTTTCTGGAGCATTTGGAAATAACCGAAAGGCTTCTCGAACAGCATCGTCAAAAGAACATGAATGGGTAACGTAACGGTTATTTTGTATTAGGCATGCCAGACAAACATGCCAAAAAAACGCGTTCAGCAATTAAACCAACCGGAACGCAACGTTCATGCAGTGAGCGTGGGAGAGTCAGAACAATGGACTGGTAACAGGCGCTTTATTTTTCTCCTCCCCTCGTCTCGTGCATCGCACTCGTTTTGCACTTCGCGCAAAATGCCGCGTTCACCTCGCTTGGCTCATAAATCGCCTGCTAGTATGTTATGCAGGCTAGAGACGGATAATAAGATTTCAAATGTCCGGGGCGTTAAATTTGAAGCTACAAACATGGAGATGAACTTTTGAAAACTGTTAAGTTTTTCTTGAATGTAAAATCATCTCAGTTCGGTCAAAGGAATATGTACAGGGATATTCAATTGGCTTAGAATTCCGTTAAGCGCTATTTATTATGCATAGTTGTTTCGACTCCATTCATGTGAAACAGTATGAGATTGCTACATGCATAATAGATTTATGGGGCTGCACTGAAATCGAGTTTTCCAATACAAATCGTTATTGGTAAGGAAAATATCGAGTTTTCCAATACAAATCGTTATTGGTAAGGAAAAGGCATGCGAAGTCCTTGATAGTTGTCTCCAAAGGCGAACCTGTACTGTATATGTAACAAATAAACTTATTTCTCGCATCCTGTTGAATCTTTTCCTTTTCCACCGTATCCACACCTATGCCTCCATCCATCGCTTTCCTATATTACACCACTATCTCTGTGAAATTTATCACCCATACTGGTTCTGTACAGGCTTCCAATTGGCAGGCACCTCCTCCACCCTACACAGCAAACATTCTTCACCACCATGCACTAGTATCAGTCCTCACCATCCACAAAGCCTTCTCGCTCAAGGAAGCACTTTATTTTGAAACCTATCAGATAAATTATAAAAAAAGATATTTATAGATATACAAAAATCCAGGTATAGAAAATAAATGAACATAGACAATATAACCCCGAATTACATGGTAACATCTATATAACCCCGAATTACATGTTAACATCTCTATAAATATAGATATTATTATCTGTATAATCCCATATCGCGTATTCAACATCTCTTAGATCTGATAATATAATGCTTTCCACACCAACTCCCTAAACTACACCATAAACTAATCCCGCCCCCCTCCCCTCCCCCACTAGCAAAAGGATATACAGCCCCTTATTTTTACAACTTTAAAACCTCTGGTGCATTAACAAAATAATTTAAATACAAATTTCTCTTCTGGAATCAATAACTAAATGGTAACCCGTAACGAAATGAGAACCTATCAACCTATATACAAATGTAGACCTATTCTCGGACTAATAACCAATAACTAAATGAGAATTTGTTAATCTATCCGCAAAAAGCCATCTACAATAAACCATAGCAATGACTGAGCGTTGAGGAATATAATTTATCAGTATAGACAGTAAAGCAAAGAGGGTAAGTTGTTGGGCTGCCTGTGTTCGTGGGATGGCTGCGGCTTTGCCAAGACACGCCTTCTGGGATTTTGCCACAAAGCTATGTTGGGTGGAGAATGAAACTAAGCAAGCTGGAGGATGAGACAATGCTGGGCAAGCCCAAAAGATTTCAAAGGTTGAACAATATCACTTGGCATATCTGTCAATAACGTACAGTCCGAATATGTAAAAAAATAAAAAATATGCTATAAAAGGGGCCGGCGCCCCACATTCCCAGTCCCGATGGACCCCCTCCTTGACACTAACTAAATAAACAAACATTGATGCTTGTATCAGTTTCTGAACTCATGTAGTAGTTATTGAACTATATTGTCGTTCTTGAACTTTTGTGTCTTTGTTTAACTGCGCAGTGTTTAAAACTGAATTTTCACTGGGTTTTAGTAATGCTTACGTCATTTTCTGAACTCATGTAGTTGTTATTGAACTTTGTTGTCGTTCTTGAACTAAAGTGTCTTTATTGAACTACAAAAAAGAAAAAGTATGAGATTGCTATGGGGCTGCACTGAAATCTCACCAAAAGTTCGTAGTGGTGCTGCTCACTGTTTCAATCTTGAGAAAAATTTGAACACATGTGTTGTTGAATATAATACATTTTCCGATATTACTGCGAAAATTGTATAAGGTTTATTTCAGTCTCTTCGAATTATTTCCCTTATCCAAACTACATTGAATAACTTTGGCTATTTTGCATTACACTGACAAACAACTTCTTAATTTCACCAAGGTATGTATCAGCGACGCCATGTGAAGTATCCCTTCTCCAGCACGCCAGTCCTGCCTGTAAAGTGTCGAGAAATGCTGCCTTAAATCAGAACAAGAAGATCTGGACCTTAAAACATGATCCAGATTTACATGGCTTTGCCTTACTGAACATGACCTCTGAGCAGCTGGGAGCTATTGCTTTGCAAGATCCCTTTATACGATACTACGCTTCGGCATATCTTCAAACCACGGAAGCAAGCAGGGAATCCGCTGCCTTGTACAGAAATATAACCGCTGGTCAGGAAATCACGGAACTATCAGAATATCTGAAGTTGTCAGCGTTTTTTCAGTCGGCTCTAGAAACTGCAATTGGCGTAAGTATGTTGTTTAGTTATTCAAAGACCGAGTTCAACTGCATAAAACCTTAAGTCAGATGTAACTGCCAACGTCTGACATTCAGTCAAGGGTTGAACCGGGCCGAACGACATTTTATATGCGCTGGTGATGTAATAAATTTGATATTTAAACCTTAAAATGGCCTCCGTGATGTCAGTGTATTGCCAGATTAAACTGATGTCAGAGGGGCCAACTTAGTTGAAGGGGAACAATATCGTGTTCCTTTGCTGGGAATTTTTGAATTTAAAATTATCTTTTCTCATGCAAATTCTATACAAAAAATGTATTGTTTTGTCAATTGTGCATGACTGGCCCACCATGTTGTCTGTGTTCCCTGACTGTCTATGTTAAATTTCCTGTCGTAAATTGTAATGATCGATGCCATTATTGAGACAACTGGTTTCCTTTTTCTTTTGACGCAATGAAAATTAATGACAGTAGTCAGTACTAAAACATAGTAAGAAATTCTTAGCCCAGCATCAAACTCAAGTCCTTCGACAGTGTATCTCTCTAAAAAGCCTCCCTCACGACCCTACCACTACTACACACCGTTCAAATCTTGAAACTGAAATCCACTTTAGTTTCCCGAGTTTCTTTTGAACTTTAGGTTGTAAAATTAGAGTTGTTTACTATGATGACTCCGACCATTTATGGATAAGAAATAGGAAAGGCTTGTTTTATTATTATTATTATTATTATTGAAGTGAATGTCGATCTACTTTCGAAAACGTGGCAATATAACATACGCCTAGATTCAGCTCCTGGTACTATTTTTTGCATTGACGTACCGGGTGTGTGTGAATTCTTTTTGCTTATCTCTGTACTAGTGTACTAAAATCACAATGAAACTTGCAAGATGAGATAACATGTGTCGGATCGATAATCGCCTACAGTAGGCGTTCATTGGGCTATACGTTGTAGTGGTCTAATATATTTTGGAGGGTATTATGCTTATCTCACTTTTTGCATACTAAGTGTATAACTACTCCTATCCCGCCTTCTGGATCTTCCGTCCGATATTTTGGCTCTTTGACGGAGACGATGAAAACTAATTTTTAATTGGGCTGTGCCGGCGGCCCAATAATCAGACAGCAAATAGAATTTGATATTTTTCACCATTAGGAGTATGCTCGGTTGCCATCACGATATGAAGCCTTCGTCGACAATAAGCCCGAGTGGATAAACGACAAGCACTTTACTCAGCAACGCCTGGCAGGCCCCAATCCCATGTCACTGAAGCGGGTGACAGTTCACGGACAAGGTAGGTCTCTGCCTACGCGACCAGTTGTAGCTTAAACAAAGTGTATCTTCAAATCTCTTCTCAAAGGGTAGTTTTCTGCGTACAGGACGTTTAAACGATGTGGGTTCTTTAAAAGTTACCTTTCAGTAGAAGGATATATAGAGATGGAAAACTTTAATCGTCAGAACTCAGTGCCAATGAAGTTAGCAAAATAAATGGTACTCGATCGGAGACTTGCTTTCAACACACTTAAACTTTATAAGGAACATATTAGGACATCCTATTAGCTAGGTATAAGGTACTTTCGTTAGGTATTGTTATGAATGGAATGATCGGGTTCAATTTCTTTAAACTCGCTCAATCCATCTGTATTCGTTGTTGAAACAAAGAAGGAATTCAAAATTTATCTGTCGTCTGTAAAATCAGGTCATGTTTGATCGTTTCTCCAAGCAGGCACGATAGATCTATATTATCAACTGGAGATCTCCCGCTTTTGTCCCACAACTGGAGAAAAAAAAGATCTGTTTAGTTCTGTTTACCATCATAAACCCTTCATTAATCAAGCTTGACTGGTCAAGATATTGGCCTCGTTCTTTTTTGCAAATTTGTTATTGACCACAACTGGATCGGTCCTTTGAAAAAGCAAAAAATCGAGCTTGACTAATATCTAGGTCATCGTAATCTTATTCGCTTGTACAATAACACATATATTATAATGCTACCTTAATTTATTTGTTTCGTGTAGAAAAGAGACGATGCACAGTAAAAACGACTGACGGAAGATGGTGCCATTTCCCGTTTACTTATCGCGGTAAAGTCTATCACAAGTGTACAACTAAAGACCATCATAGACGTTGGTGTTCAACGAGTCAGAAATATATCTTCAAAAATAATTTTGGAAGATGGGGAAACTGTCAAGGTAACAAAAGAAACGTTGTTAATTGTTACTCTATTTTTTATTGGTTGCTACTCACTTTATATTTCATATTTAATTTGTGTTACGTCTCCCTCTTCTTTAGGTACTGAAGAACAGGGAATGGGTAAGTTCAATTTGTTTATTTTATTGGTTAGTGGTAAGCGCTAATAACATATAAAATTACAAACCAAGTTGTCCCAAAATAATCATGTGGGAGCTGAGAGCCTCACTCTACTGAACCATACTGTTAGGGGCACCCAACGACTGTTTTCTATAAAATAACTGTGCGGAGAAGCAAATATTGCCTAGAATTTTCTATTATAGGAGGGCTAAAGTCACTGGCTAAAACGTTCTAGATGACCGTTCCATTCATGTACAAATTTTGAAGCCTATCTAATAAATTCCCTACGATTTTCTGAAGTTTAATTTTCACATTTCACTTCCCAAGTTAGGCTATTTTTCGTACAAAAGAGGAAACCTAAAATTTTCAGATTAAAAAATGTGATGGAGAGAGGAATCAGAAAATTTCTCACTTTCGTAATACGTCAAATTGCATCTAAAATTTTCGGGAAAATAATTCTCAAGCGCTTGTAATTTCGAAAAGACTCAAGTTGCCCTAGGATGGCAAAACAGAAATTTTATAGCGCTGCTTAGAATGCATTTCTAGAGATCTAAAAGTACTCTGCACAGCCTAAAATTGTTTTCAATGCATTTAGGAGGAAATCGCCGTTAAGTGCCCTTGTGCTGTGCTTCTTCCCCTTCCATCAAGTATTTTTTGATGCTATCGAGTATATTATTGGCTCAGAAAATTTAGTACTCTAACTATTTCTATTTATTCGAAAGCCATGTTTGACAGTTTGTTTGCCTACAAATAAAAAAATGCTTATGTCTCTCAGTCACTGAAGGAGTTTTGTTGGTTTGCTTAGAAGAGCACTGACTTCTCTTCACCAATTCAACTTCAACATATGTTATTCGGCAGGGAAGGGCTGTGAGCAGGGTCCAAATTATTGATCAAAAGAATATCACGAGATAAATCGGACAATTACTAGCCGGAAAATCACTAGCTGGGATGTTACTTGCCGGAATATTACTACAGCTGTAAAACTACTAGTCACGAGCAAAAGAGGAGCTAGCTCGCTCACTCTTGTCACGAGTTTGTCTGGAAAAGTACTTAAAAAGAAAAAAAGGTTTAAAGGCTTGTTTATAGTGGAAAGTGCACTTAGCTTATCCAGCTACTTTACAGGCACTCCAGTCAAATACTTAGAAACAAATAATTTAAACATAACATAACAGGATTAAAAACCCTAACTGGCGGGAGGCAACCGGTTGGCTATTGACAAGCGTGGCTGAGGATTTGAACTCGGGAAGACCGAGAACCGAATCTGGGACCAAGGGATTACGAGTCCAACGCGCTGACCACTCGGCCATGCTGGCTCCTTGTAGCCGCGACTTCATTTAAGGTTAGGGTATATATATGAGACAAGCTGTGTTCCTCAAAGTCGTCCTCTTGGTCTCCAGACTTAACACGCTCTGCGAATTTGACCCTCCTCCTCCTTTCCTCCGCCTCTTTAATTCTTAATGGTACTTTCATCTTACTTTGGGTACCTTTTTCTCGAGCCTTCAACTTTTCCATCTTACGTGGCCAAAATTTTACCCAAGTACTTCGTTGTTGCTCATTTCTTTAAGTGCTCTTGCAAACAAAGTTCGAGCGGATGACCCCGAAACTTAGGGTATAAACACAAGCGGGTAAGGAGGCATAAATAATATATCTTATACGAAAGCTTTTTTCCCGTGCTTTCAGTCGGCGAGGACTGCAGTGTAAAGACCACAAAAGGTGAATGGTGCCATTTTCCATTTACCTATTATGGAAGGAAATATACGAAGTGCACTAAAGATGATCACATTCGACCGTGGTGCTCAACTACAAAAAACTACACAGGCAAATGGGGAAATTGCAAAGGTAAACCCTCGCGGAAGACGCATATCTTTTCCTTAGGTTTGCGCAAAAAGATGGCTCTCCACTTACGGTTTTGCTAATCTACCTAAACTTTTCACATATTAGCCAAAAATGATTTTAAAGTACCGTAAGGTTGTGATTTTGCTGATACTTAATTTCTAAACAAGTCCCCTTAAAAAGTGTGAAAGAAAATCGTCCCTGTTTAATTACAATTACAGTCAGTGATGGAAAAAATCTGCGAGCCTGTAGATCGATTTCACTTTCGTGATCAGTGGCTATGCAAATTTCTGCGAACAAAAAAAAAACGTTCAGTTTACATGAGAAAAGAGTTCAATTGCAACTTGGATTATTTTTGACACTCGATCTACTTGGTTCTATTATTGGTGAGGTAAGTAAAATGTAAGGAAATGAAATTAAATTAAATTAAATAAAACAAATTAAAAATTAAACCGTTATCCGTAAATTAGCCATCACCTCATTGAGGCAAAGACACTCTTCAACTGATTTTGGTTTTGTTCTTTGCAGGGAAAGAAGAGAAGAGAGGAGAGCAGCGTGGTAGGTACATTAAACGGTTGCGATCGATCCAAAACTCGCGCCAAACCTGATCCCCATTCTTGGAGTTCCAGGAGCAATTTAAACTTGCCAGGATTTACAAGTTACTAAGGCCGGAATTCTTACCTAAACAGATTTAAAGGCATTTGAATTCCTTGCTTTTGAAATTATATTTGTTTGAGATCTATTTAATTGACCTTTTTATATTACCACAACGTTTGTATTACAATCGTGTTCAGTTATTAAAAATATATAAAAGCACTGAAGATACTGCTGATACTTCGGTCTTATAAAAAATGACCCGGTGGATCAGAAGTCCGATTCAACTAGTCTGCATAGATCACTGAATCGTAAAAACTTCGATTCAGCTTCACTTTTTTGACATTTATCTGCCAGCTAAATTTTAATGGCAAGCACTCGAACGCAGTTACTAATCTTCGATTACTGCTACTTACTAGCTAGTTTAAAAGAAAAAAGATATTTTATGCATTACGTTACAATTACAGTCTTATCCTTATTAGGACCAATAGGACTTGATTGGAAGGAACTAAAGGCAACATTGAATCCCACCTTTGAATGGCAAAAAGCCGTTCAAGCAGCTCTGGATACAGACGACTCTTTAGAATCGGTATGGATAGTCCTAATACTTTGAGATAAAAAAAAATAAAATAAAGTAAAATAATAATAATAATAATAATAATAATAATAATAATAATAATAATAAAATCAGCCAAACTACACATGTAGCGCTTTTTATTTTATGGATCTGTTTGCAATTTCATTTCCTCACTGGATGGAATAGTACTGATGAAAAACGATTAACTAGATAATGTAATGCAATACTGCGCAAATAGGAAGTTGATCAACAATGCAAGTAGACAATTAATACAAAGGAAATTAAATCATTTTGTTAAATCTGGTGAAAGATAACGACTGCTCCCAGTTTATCGATAATTATAAAATACAATGAACTAGAAATACGTGTATCGCAGAACCTCGCGAGGCTTGGGGGGAGGCCTATAAAATGTCAGGTGTGGGAAGGGGGAGAGAATTGGAGCAAATTGTGTAGCTTGGAAGGGCGGGTTTCAACACTGGCTCTAATACTGGAAGGTGAGATGAAGTTAATCTCCTTTTGGCTGGGGTAAATTTGAACCCAGTGCTCTTTCGTTAAAAAATTAGACCGTTTACACTTGTTGTAGTACATAATCACACTTGACAACTAATTGTTTGCAACAGTAAGGTACAAATCTTATAATCACTTACCCTAAAATAGAAATTACATGTAGCAATGTCTCCATGATTAAGGATGCAGCTGAGGAGAATTATGAAAGTGATCATGACTCATAATTACTGTTATGCGGTACCCTCATTAGCAACGAGCCATCTCTGTAAAAAGCACCAAATCATTTATAAAAGTGTTCATAGTTATTTGTGTACATGCATGAGAAACAAATACCCATGGAGGAGTGAATTTGTAGGAAATGTCCACATACAAGTCTGCTTCTGCCAATGGAACATGTTTAACTTCGGTGAATATGCAGGAATATTTCAACTCCCTCTGACTTCTTTGAAAGAGTTAGATTTTCCCTGACTAATCCTGAAAATCCTTGACTTGTTAAATTGTCCCTTACGGGGAAAAGGATTAATTTTCCTGGCATGGTAACACATGTCACACACTGATATTGAGAGGAGATTCGAAATACGGATGTTTCTTTGGAATACTAAATAGGATCGACAATAGGAGGCCAGCGCTATGTTTGACTTAAAACACAGCTGTGTTTATGAATAAGGCTGCTAAACATAGATATACATTTTACTTAGGATGGTTTTGGGGAAGTAAATGTAACGAAAATTGTAAACGAAAATGATTTTAACAAATGTAACGCTTGCCTACATGTCACACATATTCAGTGTTCTAAAATAAAGCTTACTGTAAAACCCATCGTTGCTCATGGTTTAAAGACTGATCTGCTGTCTTCAGTCCGTTGGAAAGGTATTCTTGACGTGCATTGTACAGATCGTGTAACTCTTGCTGCCTATCGATGATTGTAAACTTCAAGCGTTACCTGATCTCCTCATCGCTTTTTGAAGCGTTGGCACTCGGTGTTCCCTCTCTTCACCGGTTTGTTTGCAGTGTAATTGTAGTATTTTGTCGCTACCTCTGTACATGTTTGTGGTCGCCGTGTTGACGACGTTGCCTCCGCGGTGCTAAGCGATGTTCTCTCTGCTTCGCGCTTTGTTGTTGTCGTCGTCTACTCCGCTCACGATAGATTTAATCAGCGTTCTCCAGAGGAGTTACGGTGGAAAATCTTCGCCGTGGAGGATTTCCCGCCACCTCTGAGTGGTGTGCTTGCTGTTCTGTGTCAGGGAAATTGTTCGTGATTCACCGATCAGTCGTAAACGTTGTTTCGCAGACGATGAATAAACACATCAGCCCTTATGGTCATGTTGCATTGCCTAGTAAGAAAAAATGCGCCGTGACTTCAAACTACTGTATGAGGTCATGGCGGCCACCATCGGATATATTACTACAAGTATAGATGTACGCTGCGAGTTTGCAGCTCCCTTTGATCCACGCGCGGTCCACGCACTGCGTGCCTTTCTTAATTTAATTTTATTCCTATTTTCCCATTTATTATTAACATTATTATTATTCATTCTTTGTTCCATTTTGTAAATTAAATCGGAAGAGCTACGTAGTGGAGTTTTAATAAAGATACTGTACTGTACTTCGCGCGCTACGAGATTATAAACTCTCTTTGCGAAGCGCTTCGTGCCTCGCTTCGCTCGGAATAAATAAATAAATAAATAAATAAATTAATTAATTAATTAATAAAAACTAAACATCCCACCTTGTATCGAAGGAACAAACCGATCGATTTCATTTGAGCCCTTTAAATAGCAGCCATAGTTGCATCAAGGTTACATAAAAAACTCCGGGCGTGTTCATTATCAAACAATACATAACCTAATAAGCCTTGTGTTGCATGACAAATTAAAAACGTGGGAGAATAATATATGATTACTCTGCTTGTATTTAGCTATAGACGTAAAAGACACTCTCTTTTTTGCTGCTTGACCAGAGTGGGCTTATTTCCAGCCAGGCAGTTGCACTAGGTATTTATTTCGTTCAAGAAATTTGAACGACGGTTCCACTTTTTTGCTTTGCAGGCTATAGACCAGGGCCGCATTTACGCTCTACGATATGAGATGTGTGACGACATGGCAAGATCACNTGTAACTCTTGCTGCCTATCGATGATTGTAAACTTCAAGCGTTACCTGATCTCCTCATCGCTTTTTGAAGCGTTGGCACTCGGTGTTCCCTCTCTTCACCGGTTTGTTTGCAGTGTAATTGTAGTATTTTGTCGCTACCTCTGTACATGTTTGTGGTCGCCGTGTTGACGACGTTGCCTCCGCGGTGCTAAGCGATGTTCTCTCTGCTTCGCGCTTTGTTGTTGTCGTCGTCTACTCCGCTCGCGATAGATTTAATCAGCGTTCTCCAGAGGAGTTACGGTGGAAAATCTTCGCCGTGGAGGATTTCCCGCCACCTCTGAGTGCTGTGCTTGCTGTTCTGTGTCAGGGAAATTGTTCGTGATTCACCGATCAGTCGTAAACGTTGTTTCGCAGACGATGAATAAACACATCAGCCCTTATGGTCATGTTGCATTGCCTAGTAAGAAAAACTGCGCCGTGACTTCAAACTACTGTATAAGGTCATGGCGGCTACCATCAGATATATTACTACAAGTATAGATGTACGCTGCGAGTTTGCAGCTCCCTTTGATCCACGCGCGGTCCACGCACTGCGTGCCTTTCTTAATTTAATTTTATTCCTATTTTCCCATTTATTATTAACATTATTATTATTCATTCTTTGTTCCATTTTGTAAATTAAATCGGAAGAGCTACGTAGTGGAGTTTTAATAAAGATACTGTACTGTACTTCGCGCGCTACGAGATTATAAACTCTCTTTGCGAAGCGCTTCGTGCCTCGCTTCGCTCGGGATAAATAAATAAATAAATAAATAAATAAATAAATAAATTAATTAATTAATTAATCAATTAATTAATAAAAACTAAACATCCCACCTTGTATCGAAGGAATAAACCGATCGATTTCATTTGAGCCCTTTAAATAGCAGCCATAGTTGCATCAAGGTTACATAAAAAACTCCGGGCCTGTTCATTATCAAACAATACATAACCTAATAAGCCTTGTGTTGCATGACAAATTAAAAACGTGGGAGAATAATATATAATTACTCTGCTTGTATTTAGCTATAGACGTAAAAGACACTCTCTTTTTTGCTGCTTGACCAGAGTGGGCGTATTTCCAGCCAGGCAGTTGCACTAGGTATTTATTTCGTTCAAGAAATTTGAACGACGGTTCCACATTTTTTGCTTTGCAGGCTATAGATCAGGGCCGCATTTACGCTTTACGATATGAGATGTGTGACGACATGGCAAGATCACCAGATCTTACTGATAGAGATCCTCGAAGAAAAATGTGGAACTTTCTCTCTCCTATCGCCTTGTTTGCGTCTAAGGGGAATAAATACGGCAAAAATGAGCTTGTTCCTGTGGCCATTCAAATGGATTATAAACCAGGTAAAATCCTAAATACATGTGACTGATTGAGAATGCCAAAGTACATAACAAGAGCTAGAAAATAGCTCATTCTCTCTTGCACATAACTAAATGTAATTGGTAGATATCTGCCAAAATTGTCCTTCAATACGGGAAACAGATACGTC